AATAAGACGCTGCATCTGCAGATGGGATAAAACTGACACCACGTTCCTGAGACACCGATGAGACATAAGATGCTGCTACTGGTAACGGGGTCGTACCACTCGTCACTAAAATTAGTAATATTCAGTTATGTATACCAAAACAGCTTCTGAAGTCCCGCCGCCATCCTTTGCACGCAGGTGAGCTCCACTTGTGCATACATAACGTCGGGGTGAAGGGCGCTATTAGCAAAAAAAGTGCTGCGAGAAATTTTGCCTTAAAAAAGCCTAATAACAGATCTAATCCAATCAAATTTTCGAAGAAGTACGGCATATATATCGGCGGGGGGTACCGAAATGTAGTCCACGATCGGATGGCGTAGCATCATTGCGACCGGAGCCTGGGAGAATCCCTGTAACATCACTAACATGGAATGGCTGCAGCGATGAAAGGGTGGTGCTGGTTCAAAAATTTCAGCAGAATTTACCACAAAATCACTGTATTGTGCTGCAAAACAGTCATTTTGAATTTTTCGTTACGTTCTTGTGAAGATCAGACAAATGTGTTCAGTGTCTGACAGAGGACGCACAAAATGAAATCACTGAAAATTGGGTGACAGAAGCACAAAGCCCGTGCATCTCGCACGGAGCTATGATCGCTTAAAAAATAATGCACAAACCAGCAGGTGCGAAAGGTATCTCGGCAGTTGTGGCAGAAGTACCCGGGAATTTCTGTTTTGGTCGTGTTTCTGTAACAGAGATGTCCGATGGGTGCTGTTCCGGAAGGGCAGTCAAAGCAGGAGCGGCAAGAGGTCGTGGACGATGAAGCTCATGGATAGTGGCTGGAAGACGAGACTCCTCCATCGGCAACTGCTCAAACCAATATTCGCCGGTTGAATCATAATAAAGATCATCCTCAGCATCGGACAGTGGCGGTGACGGGGGTAACCATGTCTGAAAAATGTAAGAACATTTAACAAATTCGAAAAACAATTTTTATTTCTTTTTTGAAATATACGCCGAATTTTCAGCAGTGTTTCAAGCCAAAGTTGTTAAACTTGTAACCCCGCCAGAAGATGAATCCAACGTCAGGATGGCCAGTAGGGTGGCAAACAGGTAATGCAAAACTGGACAAAGAAAAAGCTGCCGGCTGCAACGCTATGAACTAAAGCTGATCGAAAAATCAAAATATTTTCAGGCCGGATTTTAGCAGACAAAAAGCGAAAAAATTCCAAGGAATGGAAAAAAGCATTAATTTTTGCTTATTTTGGTCAAATCAAAGATATCCTCAATACAGTTAGCTCAAGCGTTTGGATCTGGCCTTCGCCAGGAATCTATGGTATTACTAATTTGAAAAAATTATGAGAAAATGCGCTCAATACTGCAAAATTTAAATAAATAACTTACCAACATTGTTTCACCAGGAACGTCCAAGCAGATAACCTGTAACCAGTTATGCATTAATTGAAAAGAAAAAAAAAAACAGATTGCTTTTCCTTAAAATAATTCTTTACATTTGTTGCTACTAAAGCAATATAAACACGAGAAGTTGGCAGCTTCACAGTTAGGTATTATACTGGGTTACACAGTCACATAGTATTACACAATTACAGTATTATACCACAGCCGGCGCGCCAAACTTACCAGTTGCATAGTCACAAAATCAAACAAGTGAAAACTGCAAGCTGCATAGTTGTTTTATCATACTAGAAAGTTGCCAATCCGGGTGCAAAGGCGTTTGTCGTCTCCCACTCAACCTTCTTTTTTTCCCCATTCGTTCAAAGTAGGACCTCATCTTCGCCTCCAAAAAAAGACCTCAGAATGAAATCGTCAAGAAAATGCAACTGCTAAGTACGTTCGTGTGATTTCATAACATCTGACGGTTCCGTTTGGCTTCCTGCCGCAATTTTCGCTCTCTAGACCGCAATGTGTGTCTGGGCGTTTAGCCTGACCAATTTCGTAAAATAACGTCGAACTAAAAGAGGGAATGCTCTCGTTAAAAGTACCAACGCAAAGAATCTAACAAAAAATGCGTAGCGACGGAGGCACGCAAAACCTGTCTCTGAATTAAACAAAAACTGTCCTTTCGTTACAATACTCACCCAAAGCTACATCAAAAACAGTTCAAGATTGGGAAAATTTTGAGACAAATTCTGAGGAAAGTAGAAATTTGGAGTCAAACAAGGCAAATTTGGGGACAAAACAAATCCAAAGTAAAATTTTGAGGAAAAATCAATCCGTAATTTTCATGAAGGGAGATACGCATCCCTGTCTTTCATTCGTTGCCACTGACGCCTGGACTCGTGAAGAAGTCAAGGCTGTAGTTGTTGGCGCAGTCTGATTCAGTTTTCCCATCAGTTTATGATACCACCCAGTGCAAGTAACGCAGCGCTCTATGAGATAGCAGCCTTCTGTTCAGTAACTTTTCAGCGAATACTTCCAAGCACTAAGCCTCTGCTTGTCAGAAACTTCCGTGATCGTGCTAGTCCTAATTTTAAGAAC